CGGCTGGTGGAGGACACAGTCCTGCCCCTCCCATACTACCAGCCCCTCATCCAGCTCCTCACCGAGCCCATCCTCTGCCCAGGCCAGGTGGGTGCTGTGGGGTAGGGGCAACCTCGGGAGTGGGCAGGCATCGCCCCGGCACTGGGGGCTCACCGTGACCACCCTGCCCTCCCCACAGCCCCCCGCTGGCACGGCTCTGGCCATCCTGGAGGAGGTGACCTCAGGGGAGAGCCGGCAGGATGTGGCCACCAAGCTGGTGAAGATCTTCTTGGGGCAGGGGCTGGCAGTGCCCCTCCTGGACTATCTCACCACCCGTGAGCTGGCCAGGACCAGTAAGTGCCAGGGCTGGGGGCACCACCTGCACCCCACCCGCCAGGAAGCTGGGCTGCCAGGGTCCCCTCGGACCCCTATGGGGAGAAGTGCGGGGCCACCAAGGGGGAGGCAGGAAAGGTGCCATGTGTCCCCAGGGTCGTGCACACCAAGGGAGGGCTGGGGCATCACCCTGTGCCCACCTCACCATGACCTCTGCACTCTTGCAGCGGACCCCAACACCCTCTTCCGCTCCAACTCACTGGCCTCCAAAGCTGTGGAGCAGTTTATGAAGGTGAGCATGGGTGGGGACACCACTCAGGTCCCAAGTATGCTCTCCCACAATGGCATCAGGTCACAGAGCTGGGCTGTGTCCAAGCAGGGCATCTGGGGACAACAATGGTGACTTCTCCTCGCTTGCAGGTGGTGGGGCTGTCCTACCTGCACGAGGTCCTGAAGCCCGTGGTGAACCGCATCTTCGAGGAGAAGAAGTACGTGGAGCTGGACCCCGGCAAGATGGAGCTGAGCCGTTGCAGGCAAGTGCAGGGGGACAACTAGGGGGACACACAGTGCCCAGCATGTCCCAAGCCACGTCCATCCCGGTATCCCCATTGCTGCTGAGCCCATGTGTCACCTCGATGGCTCTTGGCCAACTCGAGGTGGCCCATCCCTGGGCATCAGGTGCCCTCTGACCCAGCGGCGTCCCCGCAGGAGGTTCTCCCTCAAGGGGTCCCTGTCAGAGGCGCAGGTTCGGGAGAGCAGCCTGGGGCTACTGAAGGGCTACCTGGGCGACATCGTGGATGCCATCGTGGGCTCGGTGGAGAAGTGCCCCCTCCTGATGAGGGTGGCCTTCAAGCAGCTCCGCAGGCGGGTGGAGGAGCGGTTCCCCTCGGCACAGCACGAGGTGGGGCTGGCAGCAGGGCCAGGGCCAGGGCTGGGAGGGGTCTGCTCGTCACCGGGACCACCAGCCCAAGCCCTGAGCCTTCCCCACCGCTGGCCAGGAGGTGAGGTACTTCTCCATCAGCGGGTTCCTCTTCCTCCGGTTCTTCGCCCCCGCCGTCCTCACCCCGAAGCTCTTCAGCCTCCGGGAGCAGCACGCTGACCCCCGCACGCGCC